ACTTAACTGCAATTCAGAGGTAAATGATAAAACGGCTTGCCATACGGCCGCAGTGAGTGCTCGGCTTCAGTGACGTCTCCAAAAAGTCAACAGGGTTTTGGTTCCATACCAGTAGGCTTACTGGGCACCACAAAATCAGTCTTTGATATACTGTATTAGTATACAAAATATATTTTACTGTTTTTACCTTCAGAAATAGATATGCACGCACGCAATTAAAATGACTATGGATATTTTTTATTGTTTTTTTTTTTTTTTTCCTTTTTTTTTATCTAGGGCGACGAAATATCGCAGCCTAGCATCCTGAGAGCATACCGAAAAATATATGGGTTTGAATTTTTTGTATCTGCTGTTGCAAAAGGATTGTCCGACACATGCGGGTTTATACCAGCCCTGTCTGTCGGCAGAATGGTTGATTACGTCAGTGACATTGATGACGAAAGTGATACTTATATTAATTCAGTACGGTTTTTATATAATTTGTTTAATGATAATTTTATTTTTTATAATGTTTTCTGAAATTGATACGATTTTCTTGTTTCAATTAGCTTTATATACGCCTATTTTAAAGTATACATTCGGCGCCTAAACATCACCATGGTTAATTCCGGCACAGATCCTATAGGGTGTGTGATTCCGGTATGTCTGAGTCGTTGATGAATACATTTTTATAATAGCACAGTTATAGTTTGTTGAATGGTTGTTGCACAGCTACCATTATTCTAGTATGTGCCACGTCGCGCTAACAAACGTGTGAGGCGTTTTTTGGGCGTGCTTATACGAGAGCGTGCTTAGCTTAATATTTACGTTTTTGTAGTGCTAAATTAGTACTGTGCCGTGTATTGAACATAGGCCTATCTGACGTGTTGCTTAGTACTATTTAATTCTTGATGAATCGATTATTTAATAGCATGTTGTTGCTGTTCATATATCATTAATAAAATTAATAATAGTATTATTAATATCATAGCCTTAGTATTATGAGTCAGATTCTACACTAAAATGTACCAATAATCTAAGTTTAATTGAATCTATATGCTTTTCCTTACCGGTATGTAGGCAGCGTATGTGTCGCTGAGCGACTACTTTACAAATGGCTTTGTGCTGTTGGTGTTGGCTACCTTGGCTATTATTCTTAAGGGTGTGTTTCTACAATATTCCAACTATATCCTGTGGAGGCAGAACATTGAGCTGAAGGGAGCGCTTCAGGTAAGAGCTATGCAGGTTAAACTCAATCAATCGATCGACCGACAGGCCGACTGACTGATTAAACTAACTTATCAATGAAAACGAATCAATCAATCAATTAAGCAAACAGTCAATAATTAAGCAAGTCAATCAATCAATTAATCAACTAGGCCTACCAATCTAACCAATCATGTTATCTAACAATCAATCAATTGTTCACGGTTACTTGTATTGCCAAGATGCAGCTCTACAGATCATTTTGGATATTATTTTGTACTGTACATATATAACCGTCTTGCAGTTTCTTCTGCGCATGTCTATTTTGAACGTTGATGCATTTAAATATTCAATCCATTGTATGTTGTTATCTGTATTTTATAGAGTACATATTAATTAAGGGTTATTGCAAATTGGTTGTATTTGGCTATAATATTATTTTACTATATAGCCATAAATATCAGTAATTAGCAGTTCATAAAATAATATTGTAAGCCGTATTATTATTTTGTTTACTTGTCCTCGACATTGTAATGCGTGAGTGACCTAGAAGGTGGCTTATTACTTAACGACTAGCTCTTGCTAAGATTGAAATTAATATATTTTTTGTCTAGTCAATAATCTACGATAAATCTCTAAGAATGTCAACGTCAGCCGCTGCAGATGGATCGTGCGGGATGGGAGAAATTGCAAATCGTGTTTTCGTTGATACCGATGGTATGCAGCGGATGATGACGTACATACACAACGTTTGGTCTATTCCTTACCAGGTAATCTATAAAACAAAGCCCTAATAGAAGCCATATCAATGTCCCATAAAGTTATAATTATTTTGATAAAATAATGGTAATAGCAATTTAAAATGGCTTAGAAGATAAATAATTTCCCCAAAAGACTGCTACATTCGTCTCTATAAGAGTCCATTTGAGTCTATAGATGTTTTGCTTATATATTTCTTGCTTTATTTATGTATCATTACTTTGATGAATCATAATGATAAGAATTGTGTGAATATCAATTAAATTATAGTATTTTTATATTGTTTACAATGTAGGTTGCACTCGCCCTGATTTTCCTCTACGTGGAGATGGGAATATCAGCTTTGGTAGGAGCATCACTAATGTTGATTATATTCCCGTGTCAAGTAACGCTAGCAAGATGCAGTGTATATTTCCAGAAGATGTCAATGGTAAAATTCTAATGTTACTCATTTAAAGTTAGAGAGATAATGAGGCTATGTACACGTATGCATTAAAGTACGTAATACAAAGTACGGTATTGCAGCGTAATTTGTGTCCAATTCTTAGTAATGAGTAAATGAGTAAAATAAGAACTAACTGATCATTACATCTTAAAGGTAGAAAACACAGATAGACTAACACTCTGGTTTTTGTAAACTTTGAAAATGTGATGCTATTGAGAGTCTCGACTCTATTAGACAAAAACACTTTTGAAAACTTTAAGGACTCCTATATTTTGGCCATCAATTATTTTTTGGGATGGTTTTGTAAATGGTACAAACATCATATTTTCATTGACGATAATTATACAGTGTACAGTAAACAATGTCTATTTGCCATATGGAGAGCTAGAACATTATATTAATTGCATTCCCGCCCCTAACTAAATGTTTATTTAGCATTAACTATTTGAATTGTTTAGTTTTGTAAAATATGTTTTGCCATTTTTGTTGTTGTCATGTCGTGGTTGTTTTGCCCTTGTGCAAATGTTTCATTCCCTATGTGTCACTCAAATTTAAAGGTAAAATTTACTGTATTGTAGACCTAATCTTAAATTGTTCAATTACTTTTCACAACCCTATAAAGTTGTTTATCTTAACGAGCCACTCTTTGGTAAGAGACATGGTGCTGACATTTTTTAAATTTTGTTCTTGTTTTCATTCACATATAACTTTAATTGTATATTTGTTAATTTTTTTGATAAGCAGCCTAATAGGCCTATTTGATTGAAATGCTTTTGTGGTTTTTTTTTTCTTTGTATTGTTTAGCGTTAATGCTAAAGATTTTTATTTCATAATTGTGTTCTTTTATGCCTAGTTTTAAGTCAATTTGAATGCACCACCTTTGTGTGTGCCATCGGTCTTAAGGTGTTATTTGCTAATAAATTGATTGATTGAGTCGTATTAATACCAACTATTTTTTTTCTCAGGTTCGATCCGACGAGCGGTTGAAGGCAATTAATGAGGTTATCCAGGGAATGAAACTCGTCAAGCTACTTGGCTGGGAAGATTTATTTTACAATATCATTAGTAAAAGCAGGAATCTTCAGATATATTTGCTACGGAAACAGGCCTCCATTGCCGCTTTCATTGGTAAGACGAACAAACGTTTTGTAACTTTCTAAGTTAATATAATGTATAATGTTCCGATTTTCGGGAAAAAAACTCCCCCTTTTTTTGCATTTCCTCATGGTTACTTTTTTTTTCTTTCAGTTCCACTTGGTTTTGGTTCTCCTTCATTTATCGCACTTTTGGTAAGAGTATTTTACTTTTTTTTTTTTTGATGTTGATGGTGGTTATAGTGATATTGATAATGGTATTCTGGCAATTGACACGGAGCGACGGAAAGTGGAATGTGACAGTACACTTTCTTGTAATTTGTCGAACCATTTTGAATGATGATATTAAAGATGTTGATAATAATGATGATGATGATGATATAATAATAGTATGAAGAGTATATGAATATGATGATGATCATGATAATGGTGATGATGATTATGATGATGATGAGGAAGGTGGTGTTGGTGAAGATGAGGGCGATGATAATTGCGGTGGTGGTGGTGGTGGTGTTAGTCGTATTCAATGATATTATTATAATAGCTGTTGTTGACGTGATAGTGATATTAACGGGCATCTGTAAAGCTTCACTTCGCGCCCGGAAAGGTATCTGTGGATGCCTGTAATGTTTAATTCCGTTTCTTCAACAGAGCTTCGTCATGTACACGCTAGTCGAGGGCCTAGTTCTGACTCCCGACGTTGCCTTCACTGCCATACCTCTGATTCAGAACCTGAGCGCTCCACTTTTACTGCTGCAACCTACCGTCAACCAGGTGGTCAGCGGTTTTGTTAGTATCAAGCGTATAGAGGACTTCTTGAAAACGCCTGAAATTGAAAAGAAGGACATTGGTAGAACAAATGTTGATAGTTTTTCGACGCTAGTGAAAAATGAAATTTTGTTAAATGGAAGTGTAAGTCAATATTGTATTTAAACAAACAATAGGAAAAATTGTTTACTGATAAGCGATTAGGAACTAAACAATGTTACTGAAAATATAGATTATCATTCCGATTGTCAATTTACCATCATTAAATACAACAATTCTCCACATTAGAATTTAAAAAAAATAATAATTCTAATTCATTTATTTATGAATAGATGAAACACATTAGAAATTACATAATTTCAATAGAAAAAAAAACAATATAATCTCTTAAATATCACCAAAAAAAATGATAATTATGGTAATGTAGTTAGATTTGTAATTATGTAGCTGGATTGCGAGTCGAATGGCTGAGCGGTCAAGGCATCTATATGTTTTATATATATATATATATATATTTTTTTTTTTTTTTTTTTTTTTTTTTTTTGTAGAATTGTGCAGACCCGATGGAGTACATAACGTCAGATAAAGAATACACGTCATTTAGGAAATCAGTTGACGACGCTCGTTATGGTACATTTAAAAATGGCGGCGCCAGTAAATACACCAGAATGCTACCGGCATTACCTGATGACATCATATTGAGTGTAGGTAGACGTTAATTTTGTTCAGGGTATTGGAAATGTAATACCGGTGATAAATTAAAGGCAGATTGTATTCTAGTTTTTTAGCCGGTCATCACAATTGTATAACATCCATCAGATGCACAATTTTGCTGATACTCATATAGACATATTCTTATTTACATATAGAAAAAAAATGGTTGCAATTAAAATAGTTAATGGAAAATTCCAGTAGGTCGAATGACGTAAAAAGTCGTATGTAAATTAGGTAAATTTTCACTACAAGCTAAGTTTACGTTGTGATTTTAACAACTCTCTTTTTTATATGTTTGAGCTGTACATGCCGACCAATTTGTTGCTTTTCGGTGCATAAATATACAAATAAATAGATTTTATAAATGTTTCCATAGTCATAGGCATTCACCAGACCTCAGTATCAATCAACTAAGTTGTGCACGGTATACAATGACATTTTACTGTATGTACACTCTATAGGTTTCTAATGCCGATTTCAGTTGGGAGAAAAACTCGTTTGAACCTACACTGAAAAACATAAACCTTGAGATTCCAAGAAGTAAGTTGAAAATATTTCATACGATTCTACTTATTATTTGTATAGCCCTATCAACCTATGAATTTTTCTACTAAGTTTTAAAATAAATATCGATCGTAAATATCAAGATTGTGAAGCATGAAAATAAAACAAAGAGCTGTTTTTCGAGCTAAGCTTTCACAAGCTGTCGGCGGCAGTCTCTAGATCTAACTGGCGGCTTCAACAAATTTTATTTTATGACCATGTTAAAGAAAATGATATTGAATGTTTAATGTGTTTTATTTGTTTACTTTATAATTATTTGAACATTTGTAAATTTAATGCAATTTTGGTTATTTTAACACAGATCGTCTGACGATTATCGTGGGTCAAGTAGGAAGCGGCAAGTCTTCATTACTGTCTGCGTTCATGGGAGAAATGTATACAAACGAAGGAAATGTTATATGGAACACGTGAGTGGTCTTCTTTATGTTTTAATACGTACGTTAATATAAAATAAATAAAATTCTTTAAAAATTTAACATAATTTAATATTTTAATAACGTTTGTTTTTATTATTATTATTATTATTATTATTATATCATCGTCATTATCATCGTATTATCATTATCATTATCATCGTTATCATTATCATTGTTAGGCATAAAAATATTAAATATTAATATTATAATTATTATTTCAGACCTTATAGCAACATTTCATATGGTTCACAAGGGGCGTGGCTCAGAAATGCAACTGTCCGCGACAACATCATCTTTAACAACGAATACGAACTATCAAGGTGAGTTTTGTGATTTCTTTGAAACACTTTGATATTCTAAGAGAACGTTTTTATTACTATATTTTATAAATTTGTGTTTGTTTATTTTCCATTTTTGCTGACCTACACTATTTGAAATAGTCAAAAATGCATTTTTAATAACCTTTCGATCCTAATGGAATAAAATTATTTTTTTTATTTTAGATATCAAGAAGTTGTTTCCTCGTGTGCACTGCTTCCTGACATCCAGATCTTACCGGCGGGCGACATGACAGAGATCGGTGAGAAAGGGATTAATCTTAGCGGAGGTCAGCGTCAGAGGATTAGCGTTGCTAGGGCAATGTACAGCAAGAATGACGTCGTCATTTTGGTAAGATGTACTTAAAATATTATTTCATATTATTTCTTAATTTTTTTTAAATTGTGTATGATGTAAATAATGTTAACGGTGTGCCTTGTTGTTTTAAGGATGATCCTATGTCTGCTCTTGATGTTCACGTGGGGGCACATGTATTTGACAATGGCATCAAGAGATGGTTGTTAGGCAACAAGAGAACTGTGATTCTGGTCACTCATCAACTTCAATATCTACCTTTTGCTGACCAGGTGAGACATAATTATTGGTCTTTCTCCTTTTCGTCATCACAGGAACACTTTTGCAATAACTTTTATAGGGGCTTCAGGTCATAAACTTAAGTGTTACTAGAAAATATTGTTTGTTGTTGAATGTTAAAGCTTCTTGAAAATTTGCATTTTATCTGTCATTTGACTAGTTTAAAATCCGATTTTACTGCCGTTTAAAATGTTAAAAAAATTATCCTTTTTGACAATGTTTAAATAAATCAATTGTATATAACTTTAATGTTGTATTATTACTTTAAACATATAAACATTGTATTTAATGTCATTACATTTTTGTATAAATGCCGTAAACTTTTTGGAGGTAATAATCTTCAAAAAATATTGTATTTGGTAAAGGTTAAAAGTTATGTATTTACACCGCACAAAAAAGCGGGGGTGTCATATGCGCAAAAACAAGTGAACAGAAATTTAAATGCTGCCTGATCTTCGTTGTACGCTTATTATACTTTTGTCTTTACATTTGGTATATTGTATCTTTACTAAGAAATACATATTTAGCAGAGTAATATTCGACGTTAACGAAAATAACAACGATTGGCAAAGTAACACGGTCGTGGTTATCTATCGACGTTAACTCCTATCATCTGCATGTGCTTTTTTCAGATAATAGTCATGAGAAATGGGCAAATCCAACTACAAGGAACCTTTGAGGAGGTTGCTAGTCAGGATAGGATGTTGTACGAAAACTGGAAGAAAACGATGAAAGAAATCAGTGAGACGGAAACAGAGGATGAGGAGGACAGTAAAACAAAACAGGAACGAAGGAAGCTGAAGATACAGTTGACAAGATCCAAAAATAGACAGATCGCAGAGACGAATGCGTCAAGCAAACCTACCGGTATGTTGTGTGCCGTTCTGTTTTTGTTGATGAAATCTTTAATAAACGGTCAGCATGTGATGGGAGACTTAAGTGTGCGATGCAAAAACATTATTTTATACCCATAAATAAATGTCTGCCAATTGGCAAAGAACTTGCATTCTAGTTTTTAGTTGGAAGCTAAACATTTATCGAAATATCACGTTTAGCAATGGACGATACCGGGGTGTTAATCAATCTTAACAACTGACCAATCAGAACAAGGCAAGGAATACGCGCGTGTCTCACAAGCACACGTGTTGTCCCACGTGTTTGCGTACGTTTTATACACTTCCGTTTCTTGTTGACCTTAGTAACAGTAAGCTAGGGGTGGGGCTTAGCGGTAAAGTACAATATTGAATTATCAAAGTTAGGTATCTTTAACGTTAACCTTATATTCTTAATGTTTTAGAAGAGTTCAGCATGTCAGACATCGGTGATTCAGACAGAAGCAGTCTGATAGTAAAAGAGGATAGAAACGTTGGTTCTGTGAAGTACGAATTATACACGTTCTATGTGCGCATGGTTGGGAGCGCCCTCGCGTCTTTGAGTTTGACGGCATTTCTAATTGAAGTTTCACTTCAAGTGTCCAGTAACTTCTGGCTTTCGGTCTACACAGATACGACGTCAGATTTATCGAACACAACAGAGGTAAATTTTTGAATTGAGCATAATTGTGATACTAATAATTACCCATTTATTAACATAATTCATGAGTTTTTTTGTATTGTAGTATTTTCGTAATGGTGTTTTACTTCCGGCGCTGAGACATACTTATCATTACTACTATCATTATGATTATAATCACCATCACTCTCCATTATTAGTTATTGTTGTACAGTATTTCTTTTTACTGTTATTCTCATTGTATAGGCCTAGCTGTTGCCGTTGCGTGTTGTTATCATCTTAATAAATATAATTTCAAGGGGGAATCTATTCTTATAAACGACCAATTTAGTGTTTGCTATGGTTCAGGTAGAACCACAGAATAACATAGGGCCTTATACTGGTTTCCATTGGAGCACTGCTATACTGTTTACTTAGTTGTAATTTACGGTACCTTACTTGAGATCTAACTACCGCCCTCTATTGCTTTTTTAACTTTCCAAATCCCCAGGAACAGCAAGAATCGGATCTGCACCGTTTTCTTCGTGGTTACGCTGGATTCATTGGATTTGGAGCAGTAATGACATTTTTTTCAACACTACTAGTTATGAACGCATTATTATCGGGGGCCAACAGGATTCATCGAAAAATGCTCTCAACGATTCTACATGCATTTATGAGGTTTTTCGATACAACACCTGCCGGCAGAATTCTCAATCGGTTTTCGTCCGACATGCAAGTATTAGATCAGGTATAATGAATATTATAAGTCAATTTTCCTATCCCGTACACTAAGTTTTCATTCAAAAAAATCCTTCTGGTCTTGCAGACCCTCGTGATTTTTTTTAGGCATTATTTCCAACCGTCTTATAATAATTCCCAGTAGTGTATGATATGCAACTCTACTAATTGTTTAGTAGTGTATTATTTCTTTATACATTACTGATTATAATACCGACGAATATGTGATAATGATAATATGATAAACAGTTTGATACAATGTGTTGTCGTCTATCACAATTGCACTGCCTTTCCAGAGTGTCAATCAAACTTAACAACTGACCAATCAGAATAGACCAGTCGGGAACACGCACGTATCTCCCAAACACACATGCTGTCCCACAAACGCATGTGTTTGCGTTCTTTTTACCTTAGCAACAATATCCAAGGGGCGTTACCTTAGCGGAAAGATGCATTCACATTCAGCACACATTCGTTTTTTCGGGTAATTTGCTTGTCCGGCGGAGGAAAATTGCCATCCTTTACCCCCACACCCCTCCTCGTTTGTTTGTTTGTTTGTTTGTTTAAATTTATTTATTTATTTATTCTGGTGGAAAGAGCTACAGAAAACAATTTAACCAACAACATCGAATATCTTATTTTTTAAGTGAAATATAAAATGAACATTTAATCTCAATCTAGTTATCCACTTTATTAAATGTTCTCATTTTGTTTTTTACAGCAAATGTTGATTATGGTGCCATTTTTGCTCCGCACTGGACTACTTGTCATTGGCGGATTACTTGTGAACGCTATCGTATCATACTTCTTTATCCTGACCATTCTACCGATTGCGATTGCGTATTTCTTCCTCCTTAAATATTATTTGTCATCATCGAGGTTAGCAAGTATTAAATTATTAAAAATACACTTCCACGTTGCGTCTGAGCCGCCATGATAGAATGTAATACACTTTGTTTTGGTGTAGGCCTATGTAATGTGTTTTTAAGTGACATTCACTTCTAAGTTCTATACCTGTCACTGTTGATGTTCAAATTAAATTTCACCATAATTTTTTATTAAATTTGAATTTTAAATCTTGAGAATTTAAATAGTGCACTTATTTCTGGAATGGTGTCAACTTCACCTTATTTCCCCCTCCCCCATTTGGCGCTTTTGATAAAAAATTAACTTTAAATGGACTCGTTATATCATTGTTTACATTGTTTTACTAGTATTGGTACCCTAAGACCAACTGAAAGTTGCCTTTTCAACAGTGTTGTTATAACTGCTATTTTACAGAGATTCTAAGCGCATCGAGTCTGTCACAAGATCACCCGTGTACTCTTACTTTGGTGAAACAATTAATGGTCTAACATCAGTCCGAGCGTACCAGTAAGTACAGCCTCATATTTACAATATTCTAAGAAGAATTTCATCTAGAGTAATCGCATGGACTTTTCTAACCAATCACTGAATATTTTCAGAGGGGCGGGGCTTACTGGAACGGTTCATTCTATGTTGATTTTTGTATGTAATTTTTTTGTACGTCAATAGTAATTTCACGTATTTTGCCTTAGTAACATTTCGGTTTGCTAGTCAACTAACCCACCGACGACTAAAATTGTAATTAATACTTTTGTTTCTGCTTACAGGCAACAGATTCCATTTTTCCAAACGCTTGTAACCAAAATTGATTTTAACTCTAACGTCCTTCTCTTTCAACAAGTTCTAACTTTGTGGCTTTCTGTCAGACTGGTAAGTTCATTTTTCTAGTATAGGACTAAAAACCATAAAACGTCATCAGATCTATTTTGTGTATAACGAGTAAAACCTACTAGGCCTATACGGTACCGATTACAGTACTTATTCTTTTAATTAGAGCAACCATCAAAAACATTAAAGCATTCTTGTTTTAAAGCAGTTTTCCACGAATTCTAATTACACTCTTAATATAAAAGTATGATGCATTCCGGGTGAGCGCGCAATAAGGTCTAGCTAGAAGCCTTTCTAAATTAGGCTATGTGCAGAATTACAGCAAGTCCCTAGATGGTAATATATGTATGCCAAACCAGGCAATTGCTCTCTAGCGAATGTTTGAAAAGAGCAACTTAGCCTATGTCATTCTATGCGCGTATCCAGTGGCGGCTCTAGGATATATTTTCTGGGGGGGCTCTAGTATATATTTTCGGGGGGGACTAAGTTGTCCGACAGGGAGACTTGAGCTCGTAGGCCCGAGCTGGAGGAAGGGGTTGAGAGGGGGGTTCCCCCTCCCAAATGAGATTTTTTTTTAAAAGAATATCAATCTCTGGATGGCCGAAAATCGCACTCTTAGGCTGTGACAGGCGCCGCCACTGCGCGTATCATCTACGCGCGTATGTTATTTTTTCATTTCGTATTATTATATCTTTAGTCGATTATTGGATCGTTGATTATCCTCTCATCTGGTCTGGCAACATTGATACCCGGCGTGATGGGAACCGTTAGCTCAAGTTCTGTTGGACTAGCCATAACATATGCTATAATGGTATGTTTGACGTTTTTTGCCAATTATTTTTCTTTTAAGCCCTAATCATTCTGTTTTCTTCAATATTCTGATATTTTAAGCTAAGTTATCAACATATATTGAATGTCTTAATATTTTCATGCGATAAATATTTTTCAATTCCAGATGTCAAATCTGCTAAATATTATCGTCCAGCGAATGGCTGAAGTTGAAACTACAATGAATGCAATCGAAAGGAGTTACAAATGGACAGTACTCACTACTGAGCCACGTGATGGTAAATATACAAATTTAATCATTTTAAACATTTACATCAATCCACGGTAGATCTACTTAAAGGAAGTTTAAATAGGCCCATTGTGAGACGTGTTAGATACATTCGTAGCTCCTACCTCACAGGACAACCCTTGAAATTGGCTTAAGTTTATGTAGGCTAACATCAGGTCCAAGTTAAGTTTATCCATTAATGTGTACATAGAGACCTAGATGCATGTTTCCTTCAGGACTCGATATCATGGTGTGTACAATGACAACACAATTTCGTTGTAGAAAAACAACCGAAAGTTATCCATCCTAACCCCTATAGGATACAGTGAGTCGGCCGAGTTATGCGCATACGCAAAGAGGCCTTTGTAAATTTCACAGTAGAAGTATTGTTGATCTTATTAAAATGTACTTTCAATTTTATTCCGTCCAACAATATCGTGACGAATTAAACTTGCTATAGAATTATTTGTATCATTTTTATATGTTACAGGCGGTATGAACCCACCGAGTTATTGGCCGCACCGTGGTGAGATAATCTTCGACTCGACATGTGTACGGTACGCCCCTGGTCTCGACACAGTCTTAGATAATGTTACAGTCAACATCAAACCAGGACAAAAGGTAAATATAAACATGTACATCACGTTATTTTGCTTGTAGTTATGATTATTCAGACATTTTTAAACAAATATTTGTAATAAAATATTTTGTTTTATTAATTAGATTTTATGAAAGTCTATATAAAAATGAATGAATGATTGAATGAGATTAAATTAAGGTTTTATCATTTACCATAAAGGTTGGAATATGTGGGCGAACCGGAAGTGGCAAATCATCATTGACCCTAGCTTTGTTCAGAATCATCGACACGTTCAGAGGTAAATACATAAATATGTCAAAATTTTGTATATACCTATATCCATTGTTTTTACGTTGGCCGAGTCGAATGACCGACGGTGAAACAAGTCTTCTCGGATAAGGACTGTAAACCATAGCACTATAAAGAACCCTGTACATCTTCCCCAAACGAGTAGGGGTTACCCCGGTCTAATGGTTTATACAATCCCTTATAGAATATAGCTGGTACTGGTTTACCGGCCAGTTCCCTTAGGGGAGAAGAAAGTTACTGAATGACCTATTATAGTCCACGCTTTGAGCGCTCTGATTTTCATGAAATAGCGCTACATAAATTATGTATATCTATTTCATCATTATCGCATAGGCCCAATGTGCTTATATAAATATATTAATAAATATATATGATTGATAATTTAAAGTTTTATGTAATATATAATCCAGTATCAGGGCACTGTAAAAACCGGCAATACAAATAACACTGTTGTTTTGAAGGAGTATATAAACCCCGAAGATTTTCTTTACCTAAATTGTTAAACAACTCCTTGAAAATACCAATATATTTTGTTTATCAAGTTTTATTTATTGTGATGGTTTACGCATACCTGTGCAAAATTTTTGTTGTATGAATATCTGTTCAAGGATTTTTTTTTCATTTTAGGGAGAATTCTAATCGATGGTATTGACATTGCTCATATACCTCTCAATTCACTTCGTAAACGATTGGCGATCATTCCACAAGATCCAGTCTTGTTCACGGGAACAATTAGGTAAGAATATAACCGAAAGTAAAATTAGATGTTATCACAACTGGTTTGTTATAAAAACTTTGAAACCAGACTTAACATTTTGGCAATATACTTTATAGCCTATTTGAAAACAACTGATAACATTTTAAAAAACCAAGGACGGTGACCCTTTGATTTACTGTGGAGCCATTATAGTGTTTCCCAAGTACCATATAACTTTACGTGTAGGCATCTACAAAATATGTGACGTTTTCTAATATTATTATTATTTTCTGTTGTGTCAAGGTTCAATCTCGATCCAGACAACATTCATAATGACAAACAATTGTGGGAAGCACTCGAAATCGCGCAGTTGAAGAGAGTTGTTACGGAGTTAGGAACGGGTCTCGGTAAGTAATATGGTATTTTGATTATGACTATTGATTTTTGTTTGTTGGCAAACTAAATAACTAGATTTTTTATTCCATATAATGTTCATTTAAATGTAATTCTAAATGGCTTATAATTTAGATTCCCCAGTATTCGAGGGTGGAGAGAACTTTAGCGTGGGTCAGCGGCAGTTGTTCTGTCTCGCACGAGCATTCTTGATCAAAACCAAAGTGTTGGTAATGGACGAGGCGACTGCTTCCATTGATGTCAAAACGGTTAGTTGTTCTTCGAAAAATATTTCAAAATTACAAATTTCTTTCTTAACGTCTTCATTGCTTTTATTTCATTGTTTAGCGCATGTTTTTAAGTCATATCAGTGCATTTGTTAATACTTAAAGCATGGTTTTAACTACAGTTACGTACTAGGCCTATTTGTTATAATCTTATCGATTGTTTTGTGCCAATGGAACCAAATTTCCAAAGCAATTTTTGGACCAATAAAATGATATTATCTAATCTAACCTAATCTTACATTTTGCTATAATCGTTTTCGTATTTGCCTTTCGTATCCGTACTTAACTATTTTAGCTGTTTTACTTATTTAATTTAAGGGATACTACTTGTTCATTAATATATACATTTTCAATATTACTTTAGGATGCTGTTTTACAAGAGGTTGTACGCCGTGTGTTCAAAGACCGAACTGTGTTAACAATAGCTGTAAGTTTTTTTGCTAAAAATATTAAATACATATATGTGTATATATATATATATAAATATATATAATATATATATAATATATATGTATGATATATACATAATATATATATAATATATATATATATATATTATGTATATATATATATATATATATATTAAAGCTCTGTCACATTTTATGTGACATATATCTGTGATGTGCCCAAATTTGTACATAATGATAACATATAAAAAATCAGGGTTAAACACACATTATTACAACATGTTATTGCAAAAAATAAATTTGAATATTGAATTTTGAATTGATGTTTGTATAGGCCTAATAGAATAATATGTTGTTTCGTATTTCCTTTGTTTAGCATCGAGTGGCAACTATCCTGGATTCTGACGTCATTGTAGTTCTCTCCGACGGAAAGGTTATCGAGTACGATTCACCGGATCGGTTGCTTCAGCGAAATTCCGTATTTGCCTCTCTCGTCAAATCAAACAAATAAACAAAGGGCTAATCTGTAAATTGAGAATATTTGCCAAAAAAAATAATGTAATCATTACGTTTCTATATTGTCGTTTAGAAGAATGTACAGTTTTCCAGATTAAAGACAATTATATATTTACATCAATTAGATGCATACTAGTGTTTTTCAGTGGAATTTAGTGTTGTTTGAAATTTAATGTTATAACAATACTTAATAAAATATACCTGTACATATTAAAATACTTACGGTATTGGCATACAGTAATCATTATTTCTACACATAGCCTATGTCCTTCAAGCAAAATAAAAATCAGTTTAGATGAAGGTTAGATCTTCTTATCCTATCCACACACTTGCTAGATGCTTTGTTTCAGTCCGTATTTTTGTCAAATAAAATTTGATAGCTAGGCAGAGCTTTATAGATAAAACTAAGTTAACTACAGACCACACTGTGCTTACCTCATATGAGATTATATATTTTGTTTTACAAAATTAGATCTACTTTTATGTTTTGTTAATGTTGAAGGCAAATTATTTGGAAAGAATTATTCAGCATTGTATCAGGTTGAGAAGAATATACATCAATGCTGTAAAAAATGAAAGTCTTAATAAGTATCTATCGTTAGATATAATGGAATATAATGGGTAAAAGAATTATTGTAATATATTTAACTAGTTTCTCAAAAGTGATTTCAATCAATTATGTTGTTTATTTTGTTTAAATGATGTAAATGAATCTGTTTTGCCAAAAAGTGAAATTGTATATAGAATTTGAATAGGCAGTGAAGTTGAAGTGGTTTGGTGAATATGGTGCTTACCTACCAATCCAAAGGTCCTAGCTTCTAATCTTTCAATAGGCCTACAACCAGAATTGTTTTCACGCGTTTAAGAAAAACGTCACGATTTAGGCCTAATAATGAGACTTACACTCAGTCCACACTATCAAGGTTTATGTGACTAATTTGTGTGATGTACCCAAATATGGGCATGATGATGTCATATTACACCCAAATATGGGCATATCGCTTCTTTTTGTCACACAAAATTTGATAGTGTGGACAGTGCTTTAGTTTATAGAGCATCACCTTATTTATTATATTTAAGTGACCCGGAATAACCGCAAAGGTTCTGGACGAAGCTGGGGGTTCATCCTCTCTAAATATGGCTTAATTACATGTTTTGTAGTAACATCGGTACAAATATAATTAGAACCTATAGGTATATTAAGAAATAAAGTTTTGATTTTATACTGTTGTTGTTTTATTATTTAATCTATTAAAATATACCTGTTGTCCATAATATATTGAATATAAATTAACAATGAAGATAATTATGATACAATTAAAATAAATTATTATAACAGGATTATTGCAAAGACTTATATTACATCTTTAAAACCTATCACAAGTTTGCCCCTGATGGAATGAAATTTAAAAAAAAACATTTTACAAACGAACAAAACAAATAAAATCCAACCAATGAAACTCCAAGCATTCTGGAGAAAATCCCCTTTCGATATTTCTGATAATAAACTTTTCAATAAAGCCCCACCTGCGATTTTTTTTTCCTGGACGTTTTAGGTAGTGACAATTGGTAGCGCTATAGATTCAACGCCTTCACAGATTCAGCAAACATCATGAATATTTATAAATTTGCTGCTGCTATTGAACCCATAGCGCTAACAATTGCCACTGCCCCAAACGTCCAGGGAAAAAAAGTCGTGCCCCGCCTCTTGAATATTTACTGCTGAGGTCCCACAAAATGAGAGCATATAATTGCGTGTTTGCGGTGCATGCCACGTTAAGGTTGGTAATTTTGTTAAATTTGATTGACCAAACCGTCAAGCCATTACGTCAGTTCACCCAGTAATTACAGACAATGATACCTACCCGCAATGTGTGAATGTCTTGAAATTAATCCTCTATTTTACCTCGGTTGGGACTAATTATACCAGCAGAATAATTCTGAAGTGAGAATAATTAAATCGTCTTGGATCGCTTGACTAAATTACTTTGTCACTTTCAATCTTACATTGGATCAACTGATACACAATAGTTTTAATACAGAGCTATCACAAAATCGGCAAAAAATGGAAGATTAAACATTTTTGTTTTTGGATTTTTCTTGTCTCAACAACTTAACAACCGAAGGTAAGAGTAGGGCCTATCACAGTAAAGAACGGAAAAACGGCAGATGAATTCATAATAAGCATCCAATAATATTCAATAGGCCTACTTATTATTTTCATTATTGTTATCAGAAAAACTGTATGTATGTTTTTTAAATGTTTAAAAAAAAAGCAATTAGGCCATACAATTACATTGTTCATTTTAATAAATCAAGTGAGTTATAGTTAGATTGGCTAACAACGAAGACAACACTCATAGATTTGTTTTGTAACGCTGCAAGAAGTAGGGCCTAAGATCAATCCTTATTTTTTTAAATTAAACTTACATTGTTAGCTATTATTTAATTATATTTTTAATTAACTCGATTTACTAATCGAAACATTACTCTTTAAAACAAAAAATGTTCATTTTGCACTAAAACAATTTGAACGATAAATATATCCCACTAAAAACTATTATTAGAACTTAGTCATAGTTCTAAATAATATCGTTCTGCTGATTTATTAGCATAGTGATCCGTACGGTAAAATGGATGCAGGTTCATGAGTAATATACAGTATGTTATTTTCAGCTTGAAATGAAACACTGCTCATTGAGTGACTTCGAATATTAAAAACTGATTTTTAGGTGCAGGTTATTAAGCAGGTTCAATGTAAAAAGTCTGGTAATCATAAAAGAAATTAATTATTTTGTGTCTAAATATAATTTTTACAATTAAAACCTTTCAATTAATGATCATTACAATTTGTTTTGTGTTCCAAAAATCCTACCCGAATTCGCCAAATGGTGAAAAATCGCGGAAAATCAGCCATTTTAAGCTTTTTTTTAATTAAAAAGTAGGCCTATCTTCATTAATACTGGACCGATTTATTTGGCTGTTCTACATCGTGTTCCTTATTTCTTCAGCTGTAATATCATGTTGTTTTTAATTATTAAATCAGTGAGGTGTAGTAGGAATCTTTTCTTTTAAGAAAGGTTATCGTCACGTGTACTAACTAACACCTACAGTACCGTATCTGTTTACGAAATCTTGCGATCATTTTAACAAAAATCACTCCCGGTTTCTGAACGTATGGACCGATTGTAACGGCTGTTTCTTTAAGTAAAAATAGAATAATCAAGCTGTCTGTTGCTATTGTTGGAACGCTCATTTCTTTAGAGACACTGCTTTAATTTAACACACACCGACTAATGTTATGGTAAAGAATAGGCAGCAGTTCGAAATTCCCGGTGAGCTCTAAGCTACAGCAATGCAGAAAGGAAAACTGCATTTTCTCAGCCAATATTTCCTTAAAACACACCGTATTTTTATGGAAACTAAGAATATTTAATTTTGCATTGTAATGTATAAACACATTTGAGATTATTTTTATTTTTTTTTTATTACGATCAATTTAAAAACTCTTGTAGCCTGTGTTTCGAAATCTGCAGCGTACCGTAATTTATCCTGCCCGATTATTATCATTCGGAATGTGCTTAAGATCGAGTGATAACAGTACGCATCGAAATTAAATAGGTTCAAAATTTCCACAAAAAACAAAACAAATTGTAATGAATTAAGTTTACAGTAACGAAATGTTAACAATCATCATCTAACCATTTTTTGATATAATTCAATAATTGGTAAGCTAATTTTTTTCATTTATATGTATAATTGGTAAGTATTGCAATAACAATCAAAATGAAAAATAAATTTCTGAATCGCCATACACCACAAAACCATTTTTTATAGTAGTGCTTTGCATGAAGAAAAGAGACATATGTATATATTTTATTCACTTTCACACAGATTAACATGTTCGAATCAACGGATTGGTTCTGCGGCAAAAATGGTTCTGTAATGACGACCATATTACAAGGCAACACCAGTAGAATCAATGATCCATGCTTTGTTGATGGATACTACTTAATTGTATCGGCGGTTTTCGCATCTCTTCCTCTAGTGGTGCTCCTATTATTGTATAGCAACTCCACCCTACGTAACTTCAATCGAGTGTTTATCGTTCGTTATCCATGGCATTGCGCAAGATGGATGCTTGGGTTGGTTATTTGCCACACGCAGTCCGCATCAATAATGGAAGGCATCCTGACAGACGTCAGTACTGGAGCTAATACGTCACCCGAGCCGCATTTTTACCTACCTCAGACGCTAGCTCTAATAACTGTGATCGTAGTTTTATCTTATTACCATCATATGGAAGTATGGAACTTGTGGCCAATGGTCTTTCTTCCATTAACCTATTGGATAATGGCACTGTCATCAGAAATCCTCCGATACTTGAACATTCACGAAGACCCGGATGCTGCTAACTACAGTATGCGATGGTTGTTATGTTTGGTGAATCTTATAGTATATTTGATGTTGGTAGTCATTGAGATTTATACTACTTTATATCTGGTAAGTTTCTTTTTAATAATTATCATAATACATAGACCCTTTGATTTAATTATAATGCAATTGTTTATTGACATTGCATACAAATAACCATTTTCTTGTTATAAACTAGTTGAAAACCATCGGTCATGGCAACAACTTAATATCAGAAAAATATTATTTCAAGACAAGAATATAACATGTACTTCTTAATCTAAGCATTTGAATATGACTTCTTAGTCTAGGTACAGGTCAAATGTATCGGCCTACAAAGAACTTTGTTAACTAAAGGTTCGCCACTCACTCAATTTAACGAAGTGTATTTAAATAGACTCGCAGTAGGTTTATGTCATTATATTACATTCTTCTAAATGCTTTTAATTTGTGTCAAACGAGCTTGTTTTAAATTCCGTTGTTATCCGAGTCATGTACATTAATATGATGGTAGTTTTAAGCGAAGGTTATTACAAAATGTTGCTATTCGATCATAAACACAAACCGAGATGCTCATGTTACATCACACCTAAATTGCATGGCAATGATGGATATTTGTACTTTTGATTACGTTGAAAAGTAATAATTACAATAAGAGGTACTATTCTATAAATTTTCTGTCAATATTTATATAGGAATATTAGCTTTTATGACATTCTAGAGAATTCAACAATATATTCTATATACTTCTATATAAAAGGTTATGTATGTGTTATGCTCAACCAGATTGCTATTATGTACGGTATCATTTTGTAACGTGTTGCCATTATTCTTATTAGTTGTTATGTCCTAGCGGACGTCCAAGTGACATTGGTCCAATTGACTTAAAACGACAAGGCAAGAATGTCAAATTTGTACAAGGCCATACTAACTTCTTGTCGGGGATTTTGTTCTGGTGGATGAATGATATCGTAAAGCTAGGCACCAAACGGTCGCTATATCCCGATGACTTTGGCGATCTACCCAGGTCTTTAACAGCTGGGCCAAACGCTACTCAGTTTTACAAGCAAATGTACGATAGTGATGAAAAGGTAGGTTATATTTTAATATTTTTAGTCATTTGTAATTAAAAAAAAAGTTTTATTGTATATTTTATGACTAACATTTATTTTATATAAACCGTCTCTCCACTTGTAAAAACAGCCCAATTTTAAATCAGATTACGATTCCTTCTTGACGATGTAGCATACTTTTCAGTTCAGCGTTCAAAGTCTTTTTTTGTCATAAAAATGCGTCTTCATATTAATTTACTGTGTGCCATATTTTTCTTTAGAATATGGTGACGACACAACCCAGCATACTCAGAGCCTATCGGAGTATCTATGGAATTGAATTTGTCGAATCAGCATTTGCGAAAGGAATTTCAGATGCGCTTAGCTTTATTCCAGCTCTTGCGGTTGGTGGGATGGTAGATTACGTCATCAGTAATAATGAGAACGCCGACATTGTCAAACCAAGAAACACTGTTAGTTTATTAACTCCAACATTTTTACTACTATTTTATTTCACTTCCTTAATCAGCATCAGCTTTCTTAACGTTTCAAAATTATACCGCAAGACGGTTTAGAGTTTACATATTTACATATTTTTTTAAATGTTACATACATAAATATATACATATATATATATATATATATATATATATATATATAGCCTATATATTTATTTATTTATAATAAGTACGAATGCACAAAGTTGAAACGTATACGTTGACATAATAAATATATTATTTCGAATATTTCGAGCACTCCTGTGCTCTGCCTCAGCGATAACACGTAATATATGTTATCACTAAGGAAGAGACAGGAGTGCTCGAAATATGCGAAATAAAAATTGATTTATGTCTATTATGTCAACATATACGTTTCTACTTTTTGTGCATTCGTACTTAATTTATATTACTAAAACATACGTGGAACCTACACCTCCATGATGCAAAGACGCTGAATAATTGGTTGTTGGTTATTTTTTCCCGTCGGTAGATGGAGTATATTACTATAAGTGATTTCTTGGCGAATGGATTTGTGTTGTTGATTATATCCACACTTTCGGTTGTCATAAGGGGCTTCTTCCTGCAATATTCTAATTACATCCTTTTTCAACAAACTATAAAGATAAAGGGAAGTCTTCAGGTAAATATTTATACATAGATTCGTTATTTAACATAAAAGTAGTACAGTATACTGACGGTGGTGATGATGACGACGACACGTAATGCGTAAAAGGACGACGGCGACGAAACACGCATTTTTAAATTCGGTATCGCTAGTCCGGCGAATTATTAAAATATACAAATCGATTAAATATACAGTACATAAAGTCAGCTGAGTGATGTTGAAGTTGATGATAATTGTGATGATGACGACGATGATTTTGATGGTGGTGATGATGATGACAAAGAAAATGACAATAACGTTGACTGTGATGTTGATGATAAAAATAGCAATGAATATGATGACGATGATGACGCGAACAACGGCGGTGGTGGTTATGATGATGACGATGATGATAATGACGACGATGTCGATAATGATAACGATGATGTGGATAATGGTTACAGTGTACAATATAACGAAGACGTTTGTAACTTTTAAAACTTTGCAAAATGTTTTATTTTTCCGTAGTGTATCATTTATGACAAATCGCTTCGTCTGTCAACTACTTCTCTACCCGAGTCTTCATGTGGGGTCGGTGAAATCGCTAACCGTGTTTTCGTCGACACAGACAACATACAAGCAATGTTTACGTTCATTCATAACGTATGGTCCATACCGGTCCAGGTAATGTAAAAACCAAAGTACACACAGGAATACAAGATACAAGATATATTTATTTGTCAACGTGTACAACTTGGTTCACATGAAATTTGGTTTGCAGATGCTTTAACAGATACATTAATACAAATAAAATCTTAACCAACAACACATAAATCAAGGCATATTGCAATACAAAAGATTGAACCTAAACACTGTACTTAAAAGGCTAACTAAAACAATGATTAGCTTTAATGAGTGTCTGACATAAACTTTTTATATTGTATTTTATATGCAAGTACATTCATACATTTTACACAATTAGTCAAATTTTAACATTAATTAGTAGGCATATACTGTAATCATTTAGTTACAGAGTTTTGTCTTTATTGTATCTTTATACGTTTAACTTACATTCTTTATCTGTTTGTATGTATTGATTGTCCTGTATATTTTTTAAAGAGGGTCTCTGACGATCCACTAACCTCAATGACATAGAAAGGTCACCCTGTTTAAATATGCTATAAATAAAATAAAACATGTATGGGCCTTCGTGTTAATGATGATTCCAATAAACTAGTTGATACGTTTTGGGGGGAAAATAAGATCAATATTGATATTCAGTTGAATTCATCGATGAATGTTGCTATCTTACAGGTTGCGTTGTCATTAATGTTCCTGTATATGAAGATGGGTGTCTCCGCTTTGATCGGAGCCTCAATAATGCTGGTTATATTTCCGATACAAATGGCGCTAGCAAGAATCAGTGTCTTCTTTCAAAAACGTGCCATGGTAGGAATTCGGAGAAAACTTTTATGTCTTATTTTGACAGGGTCTCATATTGTTTTTTGTCATTGTGGAATTGTTTCCCCCGCCCCGATATTACCTTTCATATCTATATAAATAAATATGATAGAAGGATAGGCCCTATGTGAATTTTAGTGTGAATAACACCAATGATAACCTGGGTTGTTCTACTTGTTTGGAGTCTTTCTGGTAGTAAATTGGGCAGTACACCGGGGCACAATAATCTTCCGAAGAGTGTACGAGACCTAAGGCTTTAACTTCTCATTGGATAAATGGTACCGTCGGCGTTGTATTCACTTGTATACAGCCCTCCAGGAATTGAACCTGTAACAAACGAGTGAAAGAATCTTCACGACACAGTGGGTGTCATTAGGTTGACTGAGCTAAGCTGCGCGCTTTGAAATGACATTCACTGGAATTTGGTGAACTTAATAATAAAATTTCAAAACATTTACGTTTTCATAGGCCCGATCCGACGAGCGATTGAGGGCCATTAATGAGGTGGTACAAGGTATGAAACTGGTGAAACTTTTAGGCTGGGAAAATCTGTTCTACAAGATAATCACTAAAAGCAGAAATCTACAGGTCTACATGTTGCGTAGACAAGCAGCAATCGCTTCCATCGTTAGTAAGTAAATAGACTTGCCACAAGTCACAAATGTTAGAACATAGAGAAAATAGATATATAAATATTTTCTCTATGGTTAAATATACACTTTCGAAGAGCGCCACCAGCGTCTGGTTATATCGAGAAACTTTTTACGTTGTTGAGTTTGGATTTCGGAAACCCAGTAAAAATATGTAATAGTATGGAACACCATACAAATAAGTAATATGGAACGCCATTGGTGCCAAATTTGATTTATTTTTAATAATTTCCACTGATTAGCACAAAATTTAGGGAAGAAATTAGCGCAATTATTATCATAAATAGGCCCCCTATTTTATTCTCGATTAGGCTAGGCCTGTTATACTATATTGTGTTTTGTTTTTGTTTTTGCAGTTCCACTGGGCTTCGTTTCGCCGTCGTTTATTGCCTTACTGGTAAGACCAACTTTTTTTATATATATAATCCGTAACTGCTGGTTGTGTGCGTTAAAGTGGAACTTCAAGGATAAGTTAATAAAAATGTATTAAAAATTTTGTTTAAACGGTCTATTTTACTTATGCGCACGATGATTACGATATGAAACGACTGGAATATTCCTACGGGAATTGATCATTTATCTTGGAACAAGCTTGTATTAAACATTATTAATTGTTTTTATTTTATTATGTGACGTTTATATTAGTTATTATCAGTGTTTCTAGGGGGCTGTGACGTATTTGTAGCAACGAGTGGGAACATAGTTTGTAATGATTACGAAGTCTAAGAAATCTATATTATTCAAATATCTGAGTGACTGAAAACGTATTGCATCTCCACGGCTCTGTAGCCCCGTGCACAATACTGTATCCTGCAACAATTTCGAATCTTACCAAACAATGTAGGCCTACTATTATCAAACTTAAATATCAGGCCTAACGAAATCTCACGCATTAGGCGTGAAACTCATGTATTTGAGGTCAGTCTCAAAGAAAGACGCTAAAGGAAAATATATGTATATACTATATTGTGAAGTTTGTCTCTTGTAACACATTCTTCATCTACAGTACTTGAAAAAAACGTTCCTTTGCTAGTATTCCTTTGCTAATATATAGATATTTCATTTGAATTGTTTCAAACTTGTTAAAACCGATTCTGACCGAGATTTTGACAATCAAGCGAACAAAACATCATGCCTACTCATTCGACTGCAGTGTGCGAGGTCCGAGGTACAAAAGTAATCTCAAGATCGTATCGACTTCAGTTCAGCAAATCGGAATTAATTAATGCTTTTATTTAATTAAATGTGGGATGAATTACAATATCTTATTACGACAATCATGCCAATAGTGGGAGAGGTAAAAAAATAAATAAATAAAGAAGAATGTGGCGGGTTCGTAAAACCAAAAACAATTATAATAAAAGTCTCGCTTTACCTCGGACGCTTGACTGTATACACGAATATTGACAAAATTGCTACGTGACAAGAGGCGCGCGTAACTGTTTCAACGAAGATCGGCAAAAGTCCAACTACTATCGACAATCAGCATATAGAAGGCCTACGGCTGCTAAGAGCACATACATAGCGGAGGGGGAAAAAGTCGATGAAATCGGTCAGCGGTCAAACGCAGATGTGCCAGGCTTTAGAGATCAACATCATAACTTTCTGAACACACTATTTTTTCTCTTCCTTCAGAGTTTCAGCATTTACTCTCTAGTCGAAGGCATGACACTGACTCCAGACGTTGCATTCACTGTCATCCCTCTGATTCAGAACCTGATTGCGCCACTATTACTGCTGCAGCCTACTATTAATCAGGTTGTCGGGGGTATCGTAAGTACGAGGCGAATTGAGACATTCTTAGCATCGCCAGAGATCGAGAAGAATGACGTCGGAAGGACAAATACGGACACTTTCTCAACATTAGTGAAAAATGATATTTTAATTAATGAAGGTGTAAGTATAGGGAAATAAATAATTGATATAATATTTTATAAGTATATGTTAACGTAAATCAATAAGTACATTATCAATAAAGTAATTTACAGATTATTTTAATTATCATTAATGTTATTATATAATAATAAATATTATTCTTATTATTGCATCATCATCATCATCATCATCATCATCATCATCATTAATGTTACTTTTTTCTTTCACCACATAGAATAGAATGGATGAACCAGAGTACAAAGTTGTCGACCACGAAAATACCTCCTTCGGACAAGAAGCAGTAGCTGGTTCATCCTACGGTAGCCTTAATGTGGGGGCTGGTACACGTACCCTCCCAGAAAAGGTCCGGGCTACATTACCTGACGATATAGTATTGAGGGTACGTCAAAAGCGTATTTACCTCTTTTTTGGTTGTACCGTTCTCATAGTTGTACCTTGTTGTGTCTAAAACCGGGGACTCACTGCGTCCTAGGACGGTAGTATGACCACCGTACGACGAATTCAAATCCGTTCTCTGTGAGTGCCCAGACGACGTGACGCCGATTCATTGCGCGCGTCCTGACGTAGCATTCTCCATACAATCGTGTCGATTGAGACCGGCAGGCGCAGTGAGTTTCTGGCTTAATAATTTTCAGTTGTTGTATCTTGTTTATTGTAACTGTACCTTGCTTTTGTAACTTTACCACATTATAACCTACAGAGAGCTAAAATATACACAAATAATATAATCGGGAAAATTTTTTTTTTCTTTTCGACTGGTCAGGTAACGAACGGCAGTTTCCAATGGGATGTCAACTCAACAGAACCAATACTATCAGATATCAATATTGAAATTCCTAGAAGTAAGTATAGTATAAGGAAAAATAAAAATAACATTATAGATAGACAAAATCTAAATAAACTAATAATATAAGGTATTTATTCACGTAAATGGAGCTGCACTGCCTAGTGAATCCGATGGCGGTCATTGTAATATAGAAGTCACAATTTTTCGACTTTCGTCAAGACATCTGATTGGGCATCAACGTAACCGAAAGCAACACCGCTTTTACACATGATAATTATATATAGTATTAATAGGGCCTAAATATATTCCAAGGCCTTTGCTAATTTTAGCAAGAAAACTTAATAATTGTATATTGTATGCTTTGTGTGTTGCTATTTGCCATCTTTTAAAGGAACGAAACCATAATCTCTTCACTATCCAACTTGAATATGACAATCTGACTCAAGAGAGAAATAAATATTTAAATGTACTTTTTTTAATGACAGGTCGTTTAACAATTATCGTCGGTGAGGTAGGGAGCGGGAAATCATCCCTATTATCAGCGATGTTGGGTGAAATGTACACAACAGAGGGCAGTGTTATGTGGAATACGTGAGTAAAATTAGAATTTGCGATTATATTCATCATGGTCATATTTTTAAACATATATTTGAGATGTTATATAATACTAGAAAAAAAATATGCATATATCAAAATAACGCTTTCAATAGTAAATTAGAAATGGACAAACATGTGTGTGAGTGTGTGTGTGGGTGTGTGTGTGTGTGTGTGTGTGTGTGTGAACATTTTCTAGACGGTATTGTGTCTACATTTAAATAAATAATAACATCATAATTTTGGACCAATCGTAGGTTTAATCATATTTTGTTTTATTATAAACTGAATAGCTTTTACTTAGTTATTTCTTGTTCATGGATAACACTTTATGATGTTTTACGTTTTAGCCCGTATAGTAGCATCGCTTATAGCTCTCAAGAGGCGTGGCTTAGGAACGCCTCTCTCCGTGACAACATTATCTTCGACTCTGAATATGATTCTGCAAGGTATGATATACATAAAACAAGTTTGGAGTGTTGTATTAAAGATAATTCACCGTATAAACTGATTGATGACAATTAAAATGGCATTTGCGTAGGCTTCAAGACGGCCGCAAAGATACTCGTGCTAAATTTAGTAGATTGTTAAGAAGCCAGTAAATAAGTGTTTTTTAGGCTTCAAATTTCAGTTATATCTCATGACGATAATATCAAATCACAGATACCAGCAAGTTATTGCCGCATGCGCACTACTGCCTGATATCCAGATTTTACCGGCAGGCAGTATGACGGAGATCGGTGAGAAGGGGATTAACCTAAGTGGCGGGCAGCGTCAACGAATTAGCGTTGCAAGATCATTGTACAATGATAATCAAGTAGTTTTACTGGTAAGCACCTTTGTGAGCCAATATTATTTGTATGGTCAATTACATTATCTGTGGTACAGGCACCATCTCCCTCTGGCAAATAAACATTTCTAAAGTGTCAGTAAAACTTAACAACTGACCAATCAGCACAAGATTGAAAGTAAGCATAAGTTCAGCAAAAAAACGTCATGTGGTATCTTAGCAACAATATCTAAGGGGGCGGGGCTTAGCGGAACGATCAAATAGTATAATTGCCTCACACGAAACAAATTATTTGAAAACAAAACATTTATTTCAGAGACATATCTAATTCATATATTTCTATACAATATTAAAATTTATCATAAACGTAGTATGAATAAACATGGTATACTGCCAAAATTGAGAAAATCATGTGTTTTTCAGAGTTTTTTTTATCCAGTTTATTAACAGAGAGCCACGCAAGTACAGTCAATAACTTATAGACGATGCTTTGTACCTCTGGGGTCTTTACGTTAAGTTGTATTCACTTTATATTTACTTTTAAGGATGATCCTATGTCTGCTCTTGATGTTCACGTGGGGGCGCACGTCTTTGAAAATGGCATCAAAAAGTGGTTGATAGGAAACAAAAGAACTGTCATTCTCGTCACTCATCAGCTTCAGTACCTTCCATTTGCTGACCAGGTAGTACATGCTGTTTGTCCGCAACATATTAAAGCCTTGGTTTTTACTGAAATTGCTATACTGCGCAGCTTTCCTACTGGTCTCTAGTATAATTTTAAATCGATGTGTTCAATAATTTAAACAAATGTCAAAAGAAACTTTTCTAAAGTGTTGCCTCACTTGGGCTCTTGCACTTGGCGGTGGTGGCTTTACGGTTTTTTTTCTGTACAATGATTTGCCGATGAGCAATCCAGCTATTATACTAGAGATCAGTGAGCTGACCTAAACGCATATCGGGAAGGCTCTTAGATTCGCCTAACCAATCTGGGTCGCCAAACACTGGCTTAGTACCGTATAGTATATTTGAATAAATGCATATTCATGTGCATATATAACTAGAGTAAATGGCATCATAATTATGGCGCACTTAATATAAAATAAATAGTGTTGCTAGTGTGTTGAGTATATGCTTGTTTGTCGTTTTTGCAGATAATTGTCATGAAAAATGGACGAATTCAACTTCAAGGAACCTTTGAGGAGGTAGCCAGCCATGACAAAATATTGTACGAAAACTGGAAGAAAACGATGAAAGAAATCAGTGAGACTGAGACAGAGGATGAAGAGGACAACAAAACGAAACAGGAACGAAGGAAGCTGAAGATACAGCTGAAGATGTCAAAAAGTAGACAAATTGTCCAGAAAAGTACCGGTACTTTAGCAACAGAGGATACAGGTATAGCAAAAAACAAAAAACATGTTATACGAAAATAATAAGAATATAGTACTGTGTTTGCTATTTATCTATATGATAACTGTGATGGTATGGTTGAAAATGTATAATATAATATCGATAACTCTATAGCAGTTTTTAAGCGCAAGACCATATTTATATCGCAGCTATTCTCTCTATTCATAAAGAGAATTGCATAAGAGCAATCATTACACTGAAGATGGCAGATGTACTTTCGAAACGTGTACGGTATTTTTCGATAATATTTTTAGATAAAATCAGTTAGGCCCAGCCTACATGGTCTTAAGCTTAAAAACTATTGTGGTATTTTTAAAATGTATTTGCTGTCTACTACTACACAGATTATAATAATTATTTTCTCTTAGACTTAGGAATGACAGAATTCAGAGATGTTGCCAAAAGTGGTCTTATAGAAGAAGAGGAACGCAACACTGGGTCTGTTGATAAAGGCCTGTATCTATATTATGCCCGAATGGTTGGCTATGCTGTAACTGTGTTCTGTCTGCTGGCGTTCGTTCTGGAGACGTTTCTTACGATTTATAGCAACGTTTGGTTATCGCTTTACACAGAGAAATCAGTAGATGCAGCTAATAAAACTCAGGTATAATTGCTGAATGCTTCTCCATCCGTTTAGCATGCACATCACAAATTCAAATAAGTCACTGTTATGGTTTTGATCACAACTGTCACATGATATCGATTAACGTTAACGACTTAAATATATTTTTGCAATTATGCTGATATTATATTACATACATATATATATATAACAAACTTATCTAGATGTGTATAAGAGACAGATATAGGCCTATATAGTAACACGATAAAATATTGGATTTAACAATAAGTTCACAAAAATATGAATACATATGTATTTTGTATGTATAATTCTAAATTTAATTTAAAGCCTTCATTAAAAACTATCGGAAAGTGTGGATATTTTTCTCGTTCTACAGGTTTTTTGATACGACACCAACCGGCAGAATTCTCAATCGGTTTTCATCCGACATGCAAGTATTGGACCAGGTAGGCATTTTGAATAGAAAATATGGGTAGTCTTAAGCCTATATCATTCAGATTCGTATAGTTACTCCAAACTACGCCAAAGTCCAGATCGCCGAAGTTATATCATTGGTGTTGCTCAAGGACACAAGTGAAATTCACAGCGAGGGATTAAAACCCCGAACTCAAGGTTGGGAAACCAAAGGATGCCGTTGCGTCAAACCGCTCTTTAACAACTGAAAACTCAAAACAGGGTCAGGAACGCGCTCGCCACAATAAAAAATACGTGTTTACGTAGGTTTACGCTTTGTGAGACCTTAGAAAATAGCCAAAAAGCGAAATGTCAATATCCCACTTTATATCTGTTAGAATATTTGCATGCATCCAAAGGATTTTTTTTTTACATTTATGAAAAATATGATATCAATTTGAGCGAGTATATTCTAATAATATTGTTATGCACAGTAGCGGAATATGATGAACAAACTATTCTTCCAAGTTACTAACAACTGTTTTATCATGTTTTGTATTAGGCCTATGTTAATATAAGCATAATTATATAAGCACCTTATCAACCATTGCATTGATTGCGATATATGTTTTATAAGATGTACTCTCAGTCAAAAAAGACAGAAAAATAACTACAAAAATCGAATAACATTTTGATTATGCTCATTAAAAGAATCAAATAAATGTGTAACATCAAACGAGAAACCGATATAAAAAAGGTTTTCACCGATTTACATACATTATACTACAAAAATTCTTAAATAAATTACAAGCCAATTTAAGGATCAATGCAAAAGAATATGAGCCTAGGAAAGTTGTTATTTAACTGTCTGAAAATTGACGGGGGGAATCATATTTTTTATATTTAAAATTTGTAGTTAATAACTTATTTAAATATGCGAATTATGGAAATGAAAATATGGAATTAAAATTTTCATTTTTGTTAATCTCATGACTGATAGGCCTAGTACATCTTTAATAAGCCGATTCGTAGTTAAAACTTTCAGTATCCAAGGTCAATCTGGGTCAGTCGACATAAACCTATGTTATGTGTATGTTTGTTTATGTTGATACCAACATCGCAGAAATTCCTATTGATTGATTGACCTTTATACGGACATGCGCAGTTCAAACTACGAAACGGCTTATTACTGTGATTGACTTTGTAAATTGTGTTATTTTGCAGAAAATGTTGAATATGCTTCCGTTCCATATACGAACAGCGATGCTTGTGATTGGAGGATTGATAGTGAACGCCATTGTGTCCTACATTTTTGTAATTCCCATTATACCAATCGCACTTGCCTACTACTTTCTTCTCAAGTATTATCTATCAGCATCAAGGTAATATATGTTTTGTATCATTACTGTAAATAATCGATAACCGCTTCCCTCTCGAAAAATAGTTACTCGAGAGAAGAATGTTACAAAATCGTTACCTGTCAGAGAGGCCTATATAATTTTAACCCTCATCCCCTTACTTTGTAATAAGTGCTTCTGCTCTGGAATAAAGCAATCACACCAAATCCGAATTTTCGGATCGAAAACCTCAAACCGATCTGAAAATTGAATCAGTATAATGGGGATACTGGCGTTTAGCGCATCGAAAAATAATGCAGTCGGAATTTCCGATTAGATCCGAGCTTTCTATTAAAAGCCGAAGAAGCCTACAAAAAGTTTATAAGATTTTTTCGCTTATTTAGTAATTTACGGTCATTAGCTTATAAATGTTATAATTTCATAATTTTTTTCAAAAGAACATACAACAAGACTAGTAAAAGGTCTTTAACAAAGCTTATATATGCTTATAAATGGCAGAGAACGTTGTAATCAACTGGTGTTTCATTTTTTTTTTGTAGAGATTCAAAACGTATCGAGTCCATCACAAGATCGCCTGTTTATTCACACTTTGGTGAGACAATCAATGGCCTGGATTCAGTTAGAGCATTTCAGTAAGTTCAAACTTGGATTTCTTAATGAAGAAAATATGGATTCTACACAATCTCAATTATATCTACTAAAATTTCAAGGGGTCTGGATTAAATTGAATGTTGGAAAGTCTTTTGAAAATTCGATGTCATTATTTCCTGCCCATAAAATTTATTATCAGACACAAATGGAACTACTAAGATTATTGCATAGCATTAAATCTTTTGCTCGATACCGTAGTCTAAAATTTACCAACTCAGCACTATGGTGAAGTCTTGGACCACAATCGTAAATGGAAAGATGTGCTGCTTTTTAAACGGTATTTGATATCGATTTGAAATCGAAGGAGGCTATATTATTCCAAATTTAGGTTTGACAAGATCATCATTAAGGACACATTATTTTACAAGTCTTTTTTTTTTCTAGGGAGCAGGTTCCGTTTTTGCAACGGTTGGTGGAAAAGATTGACCACAATTCTACAATTCTTCTGTATCAGCAGGTTCTAACTTTGTGGCTTTCTGTTAGACTGGTAAACATATATTTTATTTTTTAATTACAATTTTTTTTAAACAATTACTCGTTAATAAAATATTTTAAGTTAAAAAGCTATGCCAAATTAGCATGATATTAAAATATTATATTAATCTCAAATTATTTTAATCTATAATTTTAAACCTAAAACAAATATTACTTGACTATTTAATGCTAATTTATGTTGTCATTGACATCAGAGAGCCATTATACAGTGATTTAGATCACTCTTTGGCAATCCTGTATGGCAAATTGAGTGTTTTTTCCTCTCTTTTTTTTTGTGTTTGTCAGTTTTCAATGGTCTTTGGACTAAATAAATGAAATGAACCACAATATTAAATTTCTTTGATTATTAATTAGGCAAAGTAGTAATACAACCAACATATAAAATTACAAGAAATAATGATGGTAATGCGATATTTATATAGCACATATTAAAATAAACTCTTTGCGCTTTATATTGTATGACTGAATGAAAATCAATGTATTACTATCCTCTTCTCTCTTATTTGTCTTAATTTAGTCTGCAGTTGGTTCTTTGATTATATTGAGCTCAGGAATAGCGACGCTGATACCAGGATCACTGGGTTACTTGGATGCTAGCTTGGTGGGCTTGGCTATCACATACGCTATATCGGTGAGTTTGACTTTGATGAGAGCTGAGAGTGTTTTAGGTTTTCAAAGGAACTGTGGTAACACGTCCGGCCTATTACCACAAACCAGCATTAACATTGATCGTGATAAAATGTTTCGGAAACAACTCTTACATAGTATTAGTAATACTGTCAAATCAAGAAACCTCGGTGATTTGCAAACGAAAGGGAAAGTCTTAGTTTTTACCTTTAGAACCGACCTGGAGTGGCACTGTTGAGTAAGAAACCTTACATTACCTATTGTTTTGGAAAAATAATAATATTAATATGCCCAAATAATTATTAAAAGATTCATCATTTGAGTGTTTTAAAGAGCATGGATTATGGGAACCTTGCTTCCTCCTTTTCGTTTCACTTTACCTGTCTTATATCAAAGTATTTTTCCTGATAGATGTCCACGTTTTTAAGCGTAATCGTCCAGCGAATGGCGCAGATTGAAACCATGATGAATGCAATGGAAAGGAGTCAAAGATGGACGAGTCTTGACAACGAACCACAAGAAGGTAAACTTTTAACCAATGTTGATCGAGGTACATTATTTGTCTCAACGTTTACTTTGCTGATAATAGTTTCATTTTCTGTGTCTGTATTACAGGTATTGTATTACCTCCATCGTACTGGCCACACAATGGTGAAATATCATTTGATTCTATGTGTGTAAGGTATGCTCCCGGGCTCGACACTGTATTGGATGATGTTAATATTGATATTAAACCTGGTCAAAAGGTAATGAAATACGTGAAGAAGCTTATTAAAGATTTGTTTAATTGATTTAATCATGGTTCTTATTTCTTTTATTTCGCTGATAGCCCAAATTGGAAACGTCATGTTGGGAATTTAATCAGGCTTTCAATAAATAGGCCAATGTATTACAGAATGGGATTGAGAAATTCAACAACTAGACTATCAAGTTTTATTGGACAAAAATGGACATGCCTAAATATGGTCATGATTACATCACATCATGACCATAATTATATGGACTATCAGGTTTCATTTGACAAAAACACGTGATATGCCTAAATATGACTATAATATAGTCATATCATGATATGGGCATAGGCCTACAACAGGTTCTTTTTTGTCAAAGAAAATTGGATATTCTGGACATAATGCCAGCTGCATTTGAGGGAATTATTTGATTGATAATATCTCTGATCTTATTAAAGCATAAGATTTGAATCATGTTTTCCATGAGCTGAGAATCCAACTACCATTTTTATAGGTTGGAATTTGCGGACGAACGGGAAGTGGTAAATCTTCATTGACATTGGCACTCTTCAGAATTATTGACACTTTCAGAGGTAGGACATGTAGGACAAACGTAACTACTCCTACACAAGTGTATTAATTTTTAATTAGTCTAATTAATAATATTGTTTTTACTATATAGGCCTATTATTATTTATCAAAATATAGTATTACAGTAATAATTATTACAATTATTTATTTGTGTATTATTATATTTATTGAAGTAATAAATTTAATTTTGTATAATCATTAAGCAGCTCGCAGTAAGTTTACATTAATTGGGCTTGTTAATTGGGCTATATCGATGAAACAGATCTACAGCCATAATTATCTAGAAATTAAAATGGCTATTATTATTATTATGTTTTCTGTATATTATGTTATTTAAGTTATTTAATTATAGTTTCCTAAGGAATGATGTTTACCCTAACTGACGTGTTATACTAAATTCTCAACACGTTCCCAAATATTTCAGGTGGGAATCGAACCCATGACTAGCCACTAGACCACAACTACCGAACTTGCACTTAGTGACAGTGTTGAATCCGATCCCCAATGCTATAGGGCAAAACATCATTCCTGTTAGATCTCCTGGTGCAAAAAAAATCGTATAGTATCAATCAATTATCATTTCAGGGAAGATACTAATCGATGGTATTGACATTGCTCATATACCGCTCAATTCACTTCGTAAACGATTGGCGATCATTCCTCAAGATCCAGTTTTGTTCACGGGAACTATCAGGTAATATAAATGCAGGGCATCGAAATGGTATTAAATAATACCGTATTAAAATACCGCTAATCTATTTATTTTACTAATTCATTTTCTTTCAAATTATCTTCATCAAGGTTCAACCTGGATCCAGATAGCTTTCATTCAGACAAAGAATTATGGGAAGCTCTTGAAATTGCTCAAATGAAAAAGGTTGTTGCTGATTTGGGGTCAGGTCTCGGTAAGTTTTTTAAATTATTGTTACACACATTGTGTTGTTATTTATACTTCATTTTATGTTGAGTTTAAATAATTCTAAATGATTTCTTATTTAGATTCACCAGTATTTGAGGGTGGGGAAAATTTTAGCGTGGGTCAACGGCAGTTGTTCTGTCTCGCACGAGCATTCTTGATCAAAACCAAAGTTCTGGTCATGGACGAGGCAACTGCTTCCATTGATGTCAAAACAGTAAGTATATGTCTATTGGTTATTTGACACCAAAATAGTTACATCTTCATAAAATCTATCATTAGTATGAAATATTCTCTCTAAAATATCAGGAATATTGGTATCTAATTATAAACCTCTCAAATTAAAGACCACTTTTGTGGTCCCATATTAACAAATGTATGTATTTTATCATTCTTAGTAGAGACCACCTGATAGAGACCGCGGAAACCACTGTCCCAAAAGTGGTCTTTATTTGGAGGGAAACCTGTATTACAGAAATTAATTCATAAGCTTATTACTTTTTATTTAAATCATTGCTGTACATTATTTTAGGATGCCGTTTTACAAGAAGTTGTACGCCGTGTTTTCAAAGATCGAACCGTGCTAACCATTGCTGTAAGTAGGCCGATTAATAATCAAAATTATAAATTTAAGAGAAAAGGGGTGTAAGTAGGCCAATTAATAATCAAAATTATTAATGTAAGAGAAAATGGGGTGTAACATTATAATCTTAAGTCTTCAAAGAAATTATAAATCAATTTTAACATTGATCTGACATGTGCTAATAATTTATAGCGTTTAATAATTTTTAAAGTAACCTATTATAGTTACATAGCAACATTTGATTTATTTCCAGGAATGTTGCGGGGCTTTGTTTTGCCAAACTTTCTATAAGAACAAACATTTTAGAAAACGATATATAAATTTAACTATTTTTACTCTATAATAGCATCGAGTATCAACCATTTTGGATTCTGACGTCATCGTAGTTCTCTCTGACGGAAAGGTCATCGAGTACGATTCACCTGATCGGTTGCTTCAGCGAAATTCCGTATTTGCCTCGCTTGTCAAGTCAAACAAATAACTCGAACGCCGAATGTCTACATCAGAAAAGTAGCAATTATTTAAAGTAATATGTAGGCCTATATATATATTTATATATGTGTGTGTGTGTCTGTGTTCCTATATTTATATGTTGTATTTTATTCAAATGTTGTATAATATTCAAAATATAGTTATTTGAATTGGACATGTACAGTTAAAAATACGAATTAGATTATTGGTTAGGATGCTAAAGAGAGATCCTAAGGCGGAAAATCCGGTATAAGATAAGTTTGGTTTGTACAATTTCAGGATAGACCAGCTCCGCCTCCGGTAAGAACTAAAACGCATGCAAGCATGTTATCGAACGTGATGGTGAATAAAAAACTTTTGATAGTTGATCCCAATGCTTTGCTGATTCTTATTCAAATGTGTATGAGTAAATAATTCAAGTGACTGAAATTAAGAAAACGACTGGACATATATAATATTTATATTTATTTTACTCGCCCATCCATTCATGTAAATTCCCCACTTTTGTTCCCCTCCTGCATTCAGCTACCACTTTCATAATATTAAATATTTGTTTTTTCATCGAATGTAATAGAGGTATACCTTCTTGACCTTTAACATAATTTCATGTCCAAGTTATTTGGAAGGAGGTTTCACGTTGTCAGTTAATGGCTCCAGAAGAATTTTATTGTTTATTTCATCTTATTTAAAGAGGATGAGCCATCTAATATTATAAAACACAATCGGTGATGGCGCTAGTGAAGGGGAGCGAAAGCCAAGTCCTCACCTGTCGGGCAGAAGACAATTTGTGGAAGAGAAAAAATATTAATCGTAGTTTATACAAAATATGACCTGATGTAATAAGGTTTTTAGAGGCTTTGTCCTGGAACAGAGATTCTAGGCTGCCCTTGCCCCACCAGCTTATGCAATCGTCGGGGAAATCCGCCTTCCCGGCGGGTAATCGGCCACATGCCCAGTACGTTGCCGCCAGCCCCCAACAACCCCACAGGGAAAATCCTGGTGCCACCACTGTACAAAACTCATTCAAAATTAAACGCAAACAACGACACAGTTTCTGCATTTATTTATCTTTCATTTTATTATATATGCCTATAGTATTATTAGCCCCGGTCATAGTGTGGAGTACTCGGAATTGACGGCTATTCGAATATATCAAAATTAAATACAACACTTCAATCAACCAGGAGGTGTAGTAGTAATCAATATTGCTTACTTTGATACTTGTTTCAGGAACTGGTTTTTGTTTTGTTAGGGCCTTTGCGGTGTAATAATAAAATTACAATTTAATCTGGGTGTGGTAAAATAACAACGTTGAATAAGGCCTGTATATGGA